ATATATATATATATATATATATATATATATATATATATATATATAAAATAGACTCATGAAATTGTTAAAATATATAATATATATATATATATATAAAATAGACTCATGAAACTAAAGAAAACTTAAGAAAATACAATAAATCTGATTAATATGTTATCTAATAGTCTAAAACATCATAAATAAAACACAATCACAAGTCGTATGATTCTCAAATGACATTGTTTTATGACAAACAAAACGACGTCGTTTTATAGCGTAGATATTATTTTAAAAAAAATATTAAATATACATGTGGGTCGTCAGATAAGAATGTAAAAATTTTATAGATATTTCACATTCCTATCCAATATTTACAAAAAATTAAAAAAAACATTCCATTGGTTGGCTGAAAAAATATGGAAGCCAAATTATTCGGTACGGTAGGATTGAAATATTACGGATGGATCGGGGTGGGCGGAATTTTGAATTCCAAGAGATAAATTGAAAAGAAAGTGTACCTGACAATATTGAATTCATTTTTTTTGCGTGCGTAACATTACCCTTTAAATTTAAGAGCACCTCTAAATTGATCTCCTCTCTCTCTCTCTCTCTCTATCATAATGTTACTAGTCTGGCTAAAATCAGTTTGGAGATTTATTTAGAACCGATCACGTTTGATTTTGAGTATGATAAATACCAATCCGAAAGTGTGATATTGAGAAAATAATGGTGGAATTTCACAGAAACAATGGTATTTTTATAAATAACTTAGAAAGTGCAAAAATTGAGAAAATAAAGTTCAATTTTTGCGATGAATTGGTAAAAACCTTTCATTTTTAGATGTGAAAGTATGAACGATGAAGGTGGTAGTCTAATTGGCTTTTCAGTAGAGGGTAAAAGTTCTATTACCTCTTGTAATCATAAATTAGAACCCGCTTGAAAGAATAGTCTGAACCAAATATTGTTATAAGGGCTGAATCTTCAGTTTCCTCGTGGACTCGACCAGCTCAAATAGAACATTCAAGACGGTACTACACAGGGAGGGATCTATGGGTCTCCTCATCTTTTGAAAAATACATTTAAACCCCTTGTTTTTTTAGAAAAATTCTATGCTCTCCATTAAATTTTTTAAAAATTCCGTGGGATATTTCTCTTATTATATTCAAAAAAAAAAAAAAAGAATGGTTTGACATGTAATAAAAAAAATGAGGATGTGATCAAATAGACGAGTGTTTCTCTGACAAACAAAAATATTTGTTTTTATGAGTTTTATGGCTAATAGAAAAAAGAAATAATAAATTACTATAAAAATGAATTAGAAACGGGGTTGATATCTAATAGTGGTTTTAGACTAATTAAAAAAATAGGATCAAATTCAATAATAAAATAATGTGGTGCTAATATGGAAGTACCAAAAAGAAAAATTTACAAATCAAAATTTAAACCAAACTTAAAAATTTTAATTTGTTCAAATTTAAAAACTTTGTTCCGTTCTTGTCTACAGCGAGTGAAAATCTTAAGATAACGTCGTCACAAGGAATTGCTATATCTGACCGTTCTTGTTGAACTCCACTCACAAGTTTTTAAGTATGAAACCCGAAGCGACAATCACAGAAATAAAGTGAACTTGTTGAACTCCGCTCACGAGTTTTTAAGTACACCCCATTGATGTTTTTGTCGGTCTAGTTGGTACAACAACGATTATTTAAATGATGGATGATAAAACATAAACAAAATTAGGAATCAGAGTATTAAAATTCCAAAAAAAAGGTCATGATTTCATTGAAATAAATAAATAAATAAATAAATAAATAAAGTAAATCAACATCAATCACCACCAACAATTGGAGAAAACCGCCGTATCTCCACTAATTTTGTCACTTTGTTATTTGCCACCATGGTTAAAGACACCAGAAAAACATAAAACCTGTGGATTCACCAACCATCTAGTTGTGTGGGGCTAAGTACCATATTTGCCACCATGGTTAAAGACACCAGAATAACATAAAACCTGTGGATTCACCAACCCATCTAGTTGTGTGGGGCTAAGTGGTGCTTAACTTTTCTATAAAAACTTGTTTGTATGAGTTTTTGGGAAGAGTTTGAATTACCTTTATCAAATTCTTTTTTATAAAGATGAAATTGAACATCAAATTTCTTTCATATTCATATTTAGTATGTAACACATACACATGTAAGATCCACGGATTATAACAACTATTTGTCTAATAAATAATTATTTTGTCCTTGATCAATTAAATTCATATTTATGTTAAGGGGTACAATTGTCTTTTATATCATTAACCCCTTAACTCATCTTCTCAAACTCACTCTCCTCTTAAGTTTGATGAAACTCATGATCATGAGTTTAATATTCGGATCAACTACACGCTGGGTTTGAGAACCTAAGATTAAATTTTCAATTCAAACACGGAGTTTGACGGTTTTTTGGACTATTTTCTCCAAACTTATCTGATCATGCCACCTTACACCCCTTTGCCAAATAACCCCTAAGTATCTTGCTTAAAACCTATGTGCCAAATTTAATTTACGGAAAGTAAATTGTTGAGTTTTTTTTAGTGATTTTATAGGATTGGAATTCGACTATGATTCGTGTTCTCCTTGTCTACCCTGCTCTAGCAAGTAAGGACTGCTATGGTCCGTGGCAGGTATTCTACATCTAGTCGTCTCTCTTATACCCTTTTAAATTGACAAAAAAAAAAAAATCTTTGGTCCATATTATTCTAAAAACTCTTTCTCTTCCCAAAGTTTAGCAAAACCCATGGCCCATGGTCTCAATTCAATATCCTTAAAAGTAAAAAAATGAAAGAAAAAATTGAAGCCAAAAATTAAAAATTTAAATATGTTATATTCTTCTAATTTGCATGTCATGTAATGTAGACTTGCTTTTGGGCCCATTTGGAGTTGATTTTTTTGAGAGCGAAACAGGGATTTAAAAAATGAAATAAAAAAATCAAAGTTAAAAAAATTATTGAAATTGTTTGAAGTGTTTTCGAAAAATCCCATTTTTTCTTGAAAATCCTTGAATAAGTCTTATTTTTAGCTTTTCTTTGATACTAATAAAAACTATTTTTACTCAAAAAACTTGAGAAACGCTGCTCACTAAGCCCTATTCCAAGGGGATTAGACTTTTTATGAGCATCTCGATTAATCCGCTTTTAGGTCCGGTTAAAGATAAACAATCCACACCGAGATTAAAGTGTTCATGAGAGATAAATTTCTCGTGACCCGATCCCAAGGATTGTATTTCTAAGATTCGAATTTAGAACATCTAAATATACAACTTGTTAATGCTATCACTTAAACTACCCCTTAGAGTTATGGAATAAGTTTTTGATATTCAATAACCCTTGTTAAAAAATAATGGCTACAAAAAGTGATTACAAATTATTTTTTGTGAAAATAAATTTTCCGGTATTAGTGCAGCATAATGTTTGCAGGGTGTGTACGTAAATATTATAAACTTGGAGGGGCAACTTTTTAAAGATATCACAATAAAAATAAGTGAGAGAATCCTGAAACAGAATACGGAAAGATATCACGAATCATGCGCAGTTCTCTGGCACAGATTACTTGTGCCCCAAGCCTACTCTTTTATATGCCAGAAATACCCTCACCGCCTTACCGTAATTATACTCCAGACCATAAAACCCCACACCGCTATATATAGAGCTTGTGTGCTGCAAGCCCAGAACTCTCTTCTATGTACGCTCTCTTCGGGTAATTGACGTGTTTCGCCGGAGTTGGCGAAATAGGCTTCAATTTGACGGAAAAGATGGTGGATAGCAGTGGTGGAGCAGTCTTCCCGGTGGTGTTCTTCGACGGAGAGCGCGAAGTCGACATCGGTAATGTTTTAGTCCAACCTACTCTCGATTTCAAGAACTTCCAGACGATTCTGAGTCAGAAAATTGGTATATCTCCGAATCAGATTTCGATATACCTCTTCGATCGGGCGAAATTGTGGCCGGAGGATCGGCGGAAAATGCCGATCACCGGTAAGGCGAATTTCTCGCTGATCGCTCGCGAAAGGGATTGTTTCTTTTATGTTGTGTTGAAGCGATCCAGAAGAGGCCGAAGGCGAAAATCGAGCGATAGTGTAGAATTCGGCGATTTCTTGCCCGAAAACAAATTATCTGCTTCATCAGAAAATTTCTCTCCGATGCCAGAAAAGTTGTTTCTTCTCCGGAGAAACCAATCGCAATTGAACAGTCCACAAATTTCAGGCTATGTCTCGCCGTATTACAATCAGATTTCGTCGTCGGAGTTGATGAATTTGAATAATCAGTTACAGAATTTGCAGATTCAGAGAGAAAATCAGGCGATGATAAATTCGAACTTTTCTCCCAATTTAAGTCTGAATTTCAATTCCAGGTTAAATTCGAGTCAGAATGTGAATCTTGATTTGAATTCTTTTCCAAGAATTGAAGACAGTTACTGGGATTTGAACAATCGAGGTTTGTGTTTAGAGTGCACTGATTCGAAGAAGAATGGAAGAGTAGCGTCGTTTCACCATTGTGCGTACGACGTCGTGGTGAAAAATTTTAGGACCAAAGCAGGGCCGATTGCTCGGCCGTCCAAGGCTTCTCGCTATTGATCAATTGTTTTTGGATTGACGGATTTCTGAGTTTGAGCTGGAGCTCTGTCACAGCTTTGATCATGTAATTGTTCATTGCTTGGTGTGAATAGACTATAGGAAGGTAATCAAGGGTTGCTATGTGCAGCAGTGTGGCATATGTCAGAGCAACGTATACCATGGATTGGGTAAGTAGCCATACTAGAAGGATACGAAGATAGAATACAGTTAGTGGTTCATAATTTCATATACTGTATATGATAATATGCCGTTTGACAGACATGCTCTTCGGAGATGCGATGGGTTTGGTAGATCAACAACCACTGGTGGTGGTGGTGGTTTTGTTCTTTTGGTGGGTTTGGTTCACCACCTCATGATCATTTGAGAATTGTATATTTTTAGAGTGGAATTCTAGTCTTTTGGTTTGGACATTGAATTCAACTGGAGATTGGTGAGAATTATATTTTATTTGGGGTTAATACTTGTTTCCCGACTATGCACATATTATTTGTTAGAAAATATTACTTGAACGTAATTGTGGGATATATTTACCATTGAAACTTACGGCTCTATTGAATTAGGTTCCCTTACGATTACTCTTATTTGCTTCTTCATGGAATCTATGAGATTTTGGTCAGGTATGTTTCACATTATGCTGAAAATTGGCCATTCTTTATTTCCTTCATAGGTCATAGGTGGTGGGCTAAACTATGTTTGATGCATTTGGCTTGTGAATAACTTGAGAATTTTTCAGAGTGTAGTTTTACTTCTCAGAACGAATCAATCCATCCCTACTATATTGTGCTTTTTTTGTCTTGATTATTAGTGATGAAATTTTTATTTTAAAATTTGTTCACCTCTGTCAATATTTATTAATTTCGAAGAAAGTATGTTCCTTTTTTAATCTATGGAAGGAGCACGTTAGCTATGAATTTGTGTTTGAATCCTTATAAAGTAGTAATGCTTTGCATCTCAAATTGTTTACCAAAAAGTATGTCCCAAATGATGAAGCGCTGTCCATCACTTTGGATGGATCATATTTCCTTAATTTAAAAGGGGGGCTTTATTTTATGTGAGATGTAAAATATCACATCACATCACAAATGATGTGCCTTTTAGTAAGTTGATTAGAACATCTTTTACACTTGAATTAAATAAAAAAAAGGTGGGATTATTTTTATTTCACAAATATTTATTTTCACCACATTTAATTTATTATTATCAAACTAATAAATCCATCGTGTTAATAACAAAATTTATCACATGTTCTATACATTATTATATCTTCACACAATTAGGATTTTATTCATTATCTCATCTCATACATTCACAAAACACTTTTTCAATATGAATGTCTTTATATAAGTTAGTATTAATTATCGATTTAATTTTTTGTTTGATTTCATGTATATTGTGTAAAATTTTATTATTTTTGTTGTGTATTAATATTTATATCAAGTTTAATAATTTTTTATTTAAAATTTACGTGTGTGTATCTATTTAAGAGGGAGTGCATTTCCATCCGCATTGGTCAATCTGGCATTTAGTTAGAAATCTCAAGAACCCATTTTGCTAAAACTGTATTTTTTTTTTGAATTATTGTTGTAAAAAGTGATAATAAAGGTTATTTTAATAAAAAATTATTTCGTTTGACAGGCTTGTGTCGTTTGTGAACTAGCTTTTTTGAATTAAAAAGCTTGTTTCGTTTTTAAGTGATAAATTTATTTATTTGTTTTCTTGATTTCGTCATTTCTTGTTTTATTTTAAGTTTTGATAAGACTTTTTTTTCTTGTTTATTAAAGGGGTGTGTACAGTATGAGATAAACTTAATTACTAATGAAATCAGTATAAAAATGGTAGATTTAATAGTTTAATAATAAAATATTAAATGGGATGAAAATAAATATTTTTATTCCCACCCAAAAATACGAAGAGAAAGGGTTTCACCTAAATTATTGTGCTACAACTTCAATGGTATACCAAATAAAGAAGTTCCTTCCTCCCCATCCATACCATTTTAAGAATAAAGAGAGAGAGTTGTTAAATAGATAAGGTGATAACACTACAATCTTTCAAGTCATGAATTTAACAAGAAAGAAAGACAAGATAGATAAAGCCAAGAAAAATCTATTCAATAAGGTTGTTCAAACAACGGAAGATGTTTATGCATGTGTTTATATATGGAACTTGTTGTAAGGAAGATGCACTTAGAATTGGTTCCTCTAAATGGTACCATGGTAATCTAATTAGGCCTGATTGAACACGATTTGATTTTTTAAACTCATTCAAAAATGGAGTTTAAAAAGGTTTGATATGACTTGTGAAATTCAGCTCATTTATATGTAAAATAATCAAGTTATTCAGTCTTTGTTCATTTTAGGTTCAGATTTGATCCGTTTTGAGTTTGATTCGGACTCGACTCATTTTTTAAACAAGACAAATTTAAACAATTTTTTAAATTCATTTAAAAAAATGAACTTAACAAACTCGAACTCCCAAAATTGTAGTGAATTATCAGTCCTAGATCTAATGATGTTACATAATGAAAACAAAAGGCCGAATAAAAGCTAAGCTTTCTTTGGGACAGGAAGGTCCACGGACAGTTCATTCGTCAAATTGAAGAAAACAAACCACAACACTCTGGATATTCCCATGTTGACACACTTCAATTTTACTGTGTGCGTGTAACTGAAAAAGTGAGATCTTTTTTAATATATATTTTTTTGTTAATTTTGTTTTTAATGGATCCATTATCATATATTTATGTGACACTCATCTATATTAATAATTTATGTGTCTATATTAGTAATAAAAGTGGCTTAAGTGAAATTTTTTTAATTTTTTTATTTATCCTTAAATAATTCTATAACTAGTAATTGCCCGTGCCTGAAGGCACGGCGTAACGAAATCAAGATAGTGTCACTCAACCTAAAACTTGAAGAATTTTATAATACCTAAAGACTCTTTGCAACCTAAAATAACATGTCAATTTGAAATCAAGATTGTCCATACTAATATCCAGAAATTTTTTCTAAAAATAAGAATCCATAAAAATATAAACATGTTTACAGAACTTATCACCACAATAATTAATACATACTCAATCATCAACACTTATCTAACCACTAAAATATCAAGCTAATCCCTACTAATTTCAAGAAATTTAGGCAAAATTTCTTCTAAAAATAGAAGCCCAAAAAAATGTAAACCTGTCTATAAAACTTACAAAAATTCACCATACCACCACAATAATTAATATATACTCAATCATCAACACATATCTAACTTGTTTAGTAATTGTCCGTGCCTAAAGGCACTATGTAACAAAAAAATATCACTATTTAATAAAAAAAATTTTAGCAAAAAAAATTTCTTTGCTTTTCTTTAATTACATAATTTAAAATCAATCTGGGTCAATTTATTGTTTAAAAATTTCAACAGGATCTTAAAAAAAATAGTAACCAATAAAACATTTTACAGGCTCAATAAAACAAAATAAAAATAAAAAATTGAACCTTTTATTGGTTATTTGTTTGCCACAATTTATACTATCCAACAAAATTGACCCCCAAGAACAACAAAAAGACATTCTAGTGACAATTATATCCTCATAATAAAACACCACAACCGATACTAACCACCGAAATAAACACCACAACTTAAAGTGTCATCCCCATTTTAAAACACCAACATCACAAAACTAATTATAACATTTAAACATAATTGGTTTCAAACACACTGTTTAATTTCAACGAAAAACAAACCTTGAAAATAGTTGAGTCAGACTAATCATAAAAATTCAATTGAAGTACACTCAAATTCGTGTTAATACTACTTAAGAATTTAATCTCAAATTGAAAGGGCCCTCCTAAAATACCTGAAACATAATTTGACTCAGTTATAATTTAGTTTTGATACAAACATACTTAGTTATAAGAGAAAATCACCAAAAAACTACCGACGAATTTAATGAGGACATGAGTGGGTCAATCAAAGACAACCTGTAAAATTGAAAGCAAATTTGAACGCGTTAGCAAATAGTAGTAGGCACCATGAATTAAGAAAATATAGTAACAAACATGATGAGTTTGACAAATTTAATGCATACGACGCAATGAGTAAGAGAAATGGTAGTAGATATGGTAAATTAGAAAAATAGAAGACACCATGAATTATACAAATTGAACACATTAGATACCATGAAGTTCTCTCAAAAATTTCAGCATGGGTTATGTTCAAGCATAAAAAATCTCAGTATGTGTAGGGATGTGCAAGAGTTATGTCTCCAAGTTGATGGCAAAGTTTGTTTGACATGTTAGATACCACCGAAGCATCTATTTTTTTTTGGGTCATGGTGATTGTTGACAAAAGAACTCATTTGCAATACATCCAAAAAAATTCTAGATTTAAACAAAAAAACTTTGGAAACGCCAGAATAAAAAACCCAAACCCAAGTAGTCGATTTTTTTTATCACAAGTGTGGAATTTCTTTTGGAGAGCAATAAAAAGGAGAGCAGTAGAAATATAACTCTAGAAGGAGTGCATGACGGTGGATTTTGTTATCCTGGGCTCTATGTCGAACACCTTCGATGTGTCCTCTGTGTGTGTTGAGCAACGGAGAGAGATAGAAACAGTGAGACCAACACCGTACATTAATAAGCACCTATAACTTATTTGACATCAAACAACATAGTTAATTACCTGCAATTTCAATTGATGCACCTATAGGACGGCTATTTTCCATGTTCCAACTTCAGAAATCTCTATTGATATTTTCCTTGCAAATAAAATTAAAAAAATAAAAGAGTAAGAAGATAGAGACATGAGTTTGAAGTACAATGAGAGTTTAAATATGCCTCAAAAAATTAGGTACCAACAATGTAGTGGTAATGGACATTTAAACCACTAAAAATTAAATTGCTGTCAAATCAAGACCAACAAAAAATAGACACTAAAGATATCCAACAAATGAAGATTAGAGAAGAGTAGAGAAGGACAATGAGGCTCACCTCAACAGAAGTAGAGCAAAAATAACAATTTCAAAGGTTACTATTAATGTCGCAGAGTATAAAATTAATGTCAAGGGTCAAATAATTGTTTACAATTCAGGATTTCGACATACCTTAGCAATAAAATAACAAATTGTAAAACCCATAATAGTTCCCTTCAACATTCATTTTGAACTTGATAAACGATTTTGAATGTGCTCAAAAATTAAAAAAAAAAATTCAACCTGATGAAAGTGCGAGAAGCAAACATCACTAACCTTTCTCCTTGGGTGGAATGGACTTTGGGTCCTCCAGTAAGGAACAACTCTTGCCAACTACATTCAAGCAAAAATTCGTTTAAGATAACAATCTCAATTAATTGCATGCATGCTTATATTGTACTATTATATAGTGACAATTAAAATAGAGTTGACCTAATAGAAATCATTATAAGAGATACGGGAACTAACGACTATATAGAGACCATTGTTCCTTGATGGTCTCCAAACAATACTAAACCAAATAACCAATGCACAATAATCAACTTAATTTTCCTTACTACCAATACCAAAAAACC